AGGCAGAGCTGGCAGGAGGGTCAGGGGCATCGGGGGCGCGGCCAACGGGAGCGGGGCTGGCCAGGGGAGATCAAAAGAAGGAGAAATGCTCAGAAGGGAGCAGGGCTGGCAGGAGGATGGGGCGGGGAAGGGAAGTGAATTGGCCAGCAGGGAGTGGGACCGAGCAACGCTGGGTCACTCCAGCTAGTCTGAACATAAATTGTCATCTCATGGCCTTTTTATTCAATGTTCTGTCATGGGGACTTTATAACATAAGAAAATAAGAACAACCACACTGGGTCAGACCAAAGGTCCATCCAGCCCAGTGTCCTGTCCACTGGTGGCCAATGCCAGATGCCCCAGAGGGAGGGAACAAATAGGTAATCCTTATGAGATCCATCTCACGTCACCCATTTCCAGCCTCTGACAAACAAAGGCCAGGGACACCATTCCTACCCATCCCAGCTAATAGCCATTGATGGCCCCAACATCCCTGAATTTATCTAGTTCTTTTTTGGAACCCTGTTAATGTTCTTGTCTTCACAACCTCCTCTGGCAGGGAGTTCCACAGGTTGACTGTGTGTAGCGTGAAGTAAAACTTCCTTTTGTTTGCTTTAAACCTGCTAGCTATTAATTTAATTTGGTGACCCCTAGTTCTTTTATTATGCAAAAAAGTAAATGCAGAGTTGGGAACCAGGAAATCCTGACAGCCCTAGGTCACAGGCTTTGGGGCCATCTGCATGGCAACTCTAACCCAGAGCCTTGGATCCATGAAGCTCAGACTTTCCTGAAACTGTTAAGGTGTTGAGAGTCTCTGGATTAGGCTAAAAGGGATTAAAAACAAAGGTGATGTCATGCTAGGAGACTACTACAAGCCACCTTCCCAGGTGGAAGAAGTGGATGAGGCTGTTTTTAAACAACTAATAAAATCATCCAAAGCCCAAGATTTGGTGGTGATGGGGGGACTTCAACTATCCAGATATATATTCAGAAAATAACACTGCGGGGTACAGACTATCCAAAAAGTTTTGGGACTGCATTGGAGGTTGAAAAAGCTACCGGGGGGAAGCTGTTCTAGATTTGATCCTAACAAATAGGGAGGAACTGGTTGAGAATTTGAAACTGGAAGGCAGCTTGGGTGAAAGTGATCATAAAATCATAGAGTTCCCAATTCTAAGCAAGGATAGAAGGGAGAGCAGCAAAATAGAGAAAATGGATTTCAAGAAGGTGGATTTTGGTAAACTCAGATATCTGATAGGTAAGGTTCCATTGGAATCAAGACTGAGGGGAAAAACAACTGAGGAAAGTTGGCAGTTTTTCAAAGGGACATTGGTTAAGGGCCCAAAAGCAAGCTATTCCGCTGTGTCAGAAAGATAGAAAATTTGGCAATAGACCCCCTTGACTTAATCACAAGATATTGCATGATCTAAAAATAAAAAAGAAGTCAGACAAATTACAAAGGATGAATATAGGCAAACTGCACAGGAATGCAGGGGCAAGATCAGACAGGCAAAGGCACAGAATGAGCTCAAACTAGCTATGGGAATAAGAAACAAAAAGACTTTTTATAAATACATTAGAAGCAAAAGGAAGACCAAGGACAGGGTAGGCCCACAGGTCAGTGAGGAGGGAGAAACAGTAACAGAAAACTTGGAAATGGCAGAGATGCTTAATGACTTCTTTGTTTCAGTCTTCACCGATAAATCTGAAGGAATACCTAACATAGGCTGTGTCCACACTCAGGGGTTCTTTCGAAAAAAGTAGCCTTTTTTCGAAAGAACTTCCCCTGCATCCAGACTCAAGCTGCGTTCTTTCGAAATTATTTCGAAAGAACGCGGCTTTTCTTTCGATGGCGGTAAACCTCGTTTCACGAGGAAGAACGCCTTCCTTCGAAAGTTCTTCTTTCGAAGGAAGGCGTTCTTCAATGTAAAGAGGCTGTCTTCGAAAGAGAGCATCCAGACTCGCTGGGTGCTCTCTTTCGAAAAAGCGGATTTCCGCTATCGAAAGATCCGCCTGCAGTCTAGACGCCCTCTTTCTTTCTGGAGCCCAGAATTTCACGCATACAATGACATCCTGTTGCCGAGTTAGCTGAGTGTTCGTGCCACCTGCTTTTCCCATGACTGCTTCTCTCGCTTGCCTTGCAGAGGATTATGAACAGCTGGTAGAGGATATCGTCCGGGATGGCAGGCTGTACGCCTCGGAAAACCATCAGGAAATATTAAAGGTGAGACCCTCCATGGGTGTTCCTTTAACCCTATGACATCATCAGGAGGAGGGAGAAAACTTGTTCATCTTGGCCTCTGGGGATAGAACAAGAAGCAATGGGCTTAAACTGCAGCAGGGGAGGTTTAGGTTGGACATTAGGAAAAAGTTCCTAACTGTCAGGGTGGTCAAACAGTGGAATAAATTGCCCAGAGAGGTTGTGAACTCTCCATCTGTGGAGATATTTAAAAGTAGGTTAGATAAATGTCTATCAGGGATGGTCTAGACATGGTCCTGCCATGAGGGCAGGGGACTGGACTCGATGACCTCTCGAGGTCCTTTCCAGTCCTAGTAATATATGATTCTATGATTCCTGTGAAATATTTTAGTTTTGACAAATCAGCATTTTCTAATGCAGCCTCATTATAAAAAAAAAAATCAGAGAAGCTCTAATTTTGTGTACAAATCATGCTACAGTTTGTGGTATTTTCTATTTCCATTGGTAGAGCATTGGATGGATGATATTGCAATCACTTCACAATGCTTGTGCGGATCAGAGCAACTGCTAGACTTGCGATATTTCCATTTATTTTTATCATCGGGAAATGTCTCTTGGGTAAGAACACCATTTTTCCTACCTACTGATCAGAAAATAGATATATTAATTGGTGCTTGTTTAAATCCTGTGTAAAGAAACCCCTACTCACTCTCTTTCTGTCTCTCTCTCTCACACACGGTGTAATAACTAGTCTTATATTTTTAGCAGGATATGTTGATTCATGCCAATATCACTGCATGTACACAAGCTGATCACACATATTTCCATCGCTGCTAAATACTCATAGATACCTTAAGGCTAAACGTTTGATATAATCTATTGAGATGGTGTTTTTATGCTTATAAGCTTATAAACTTTTTGAATCCCAGAATCTACTGTCATTAAATAGTAGCCTGACCTGTCCCTAGGCCTGCTGAAAGCAGGGAGAAAGGGGATAATTGCTCTGGAGCCTGGAGATTCAAAGGGGCCTGGAGCTGAGCTCCTTGAATCTTTCAGAGCTAAACGTTTGATATAATCTATTGAGATGGTGTTTTTATGCTTATAAGCTTATAAACTTTTTGAATCCCAGAATCTACTGTCATTAAATAGTAGCCTGACCTGTCCCTAGGCCTGCTGAAAGCAGGGAGAAAGGGGATAATTGCTCTGGAGCCTGGAGATTCAAAGGGGCCTGGAGCTGAGCTCCTTGAATCTTTCAGAGCTGGGGGGGAGGAGTGCTGAGCTCTGGATAGCACTAAAGGTTGACTGCTTTTAGCCTTGCCCCTTCCACCCTCAAGCCTGCTGCCTGCCCCTATTGTGTGCTCTCCATTTTTTCCTGCAACTAGGAAAATATAATAAATAAATAAATAAATAAATAAATAAATAAATAAATAATGAACTATTTAAACCAGGGCTAGTCAACTTTGAAAGCCCCGGGGACCACAATGATACTCACAGCACATACCAAGGACTTCAGCTGAAGTGTGATTGCATATACATGTGAATATATCATGTATATAGTAGCCCAGTGTCTGAGAGTCTGTAACGCCGAAATGCTGGCTGTTCCCTCTGGGGGGGCGCAATATATACATGGATCACTCCATAAAACACTGAGGGTATCTCTACACTACCCCGCTAGTGCGAACTAGCGGGGTAATGCATGCATACCGAACGTACAAATGAAGCCCGGGATTTGAATTTCCCGGGCTTTATTTGCATAAGCTGGCCGGCGCCATTTTTAAATGCCGGCTTGTTCGAACCCCGTGCCGCGCGGCTACACACGGCACGGGCTAGATAGTTCGGACTAGCAAGCCATTCCGAACTATCTGCACACTGTACACCTCATTCCACGGGCTTCATTTGCACGTTCGGTATGCATTACCCCGCTAGTTCGCACTAGCGGGGTAGTGTAGACATACCCTGAATGAATAAATAATGAACTATTTAAATAAGTCAACTTTGGAAGCCCTGGGAGCCACCATGATACTCACAGCACATGCCAAAGGCTGCAACTTAACTGTGGTTGCAAATACATGTGAATATATATGCTAATATATGCAAATAGAATCTATCACACTGATGGGCAGGAATACAAAGATTAAGCCTTAAGCCATGACACCAGACCAAACATGGCCATTGTGAGCCACTCAGTACCTCTCATGCTCTGTGCACAAGGCTAAGCAGCCAGCACTTCCCACAATGCCCAGGTGCTCCTGGCACCTCCTCCCTGGGGGCCAGAAATGCCGACACCCCGTGCCCCTCTGTTCCAGCCAGCCCGTCTGCTTGTGTCTTTCAGTGTTCATCCCACCAGGGAGAAGCCTCGCTATTGTGAAACATGTTCCCAGTGGAGGCCATGTTTAAAAGGCCCCACCCATGGGCCATGAGATGAGCCCTGCATAAACCCAAACTGCACCACGGGGCACAAACAAATGAAAAAAGAAAAAATAATTAAAATAAACTGTGATATTATCCAACAACACTATTTAAAAAAAATCCAATTCTGCCAGATCTAGCCTTAGCTCAGCTGTTCACCATCCCATGCTGGTCAGCCACTAATAGGACAGCACATTGTAATACGGTTGGTGATGGTCAAGTTCCTTTTGTTCCTGGAGGGAGTGTGCATCCTGCACCCACCCATGAGAAGTTCACTTTGCACCACCTTTCATGGAAATCTGTGCATACCTGAGCTAGCAGTGAGGACATCAAACACTCCCCTTTCTGAGGTGGTAACTAGCTTAGGTAGAGAGAGATTCTACCATGAAACATAACCCTGCTATTGTCTCTCACTCGTTGTATTTTTTTTTTCTTTCTACATCAAAGTCAATCTTTTGAAGAAAATCTGTGATCATGATTTGTTTTCTTTCTTGCAGGTGATTTCTCCCTCACTGTACATGTTGATCCTTTGGTTCCCTTGGTTGGGCAAGGTCTGATGTTGTCCTGCCACCTCATAGGCCAGGTCCCCGCTAACTGTCAAGTGCATTGGTATAAATGGGAAAGGAGCAAAAATATGACATTATATGTTTACAATAGCACAGCAAATGGGGCCGAGCTGAGCAGGGAATGGCACCAGCACAGGAACGGTGCCCCCAAAGGATGGTATAAGAATGGAGTTGTTAGGGTGAAATTCTTTCATGTGCACATAGAAGACACAGGACGGTATGTGTGTGCAGTGACAGGTGATGGTGTCTATCAAGAAGCTGTTACCCATGTGACTGTTGCAGGTAAGCATGGAGATGTTAATATAGAAGAGTTGCTGGCAGTGAACTACTCAGAGTAGTTATTGATGGTTCATAATGCTGCTGGAAGGGCATAACAAGAAGGGTTTTGAAGGGGTCTGTCTTGGGACCGGTTCTGTTCAATACCTTCATCAATTAATTAAATGATGGAATGGGGAGTACACTTACTAAGTTTGCAGATGATACCAAGCTGGGAAGGGTTGCAACTGCTTTGGAGGATAGGGTCCAAATTCAAAATGATCTGGACAAACTAGAGAAATGGTCTCAGGTAAATAGGATGAGGTTTGATAAGTACAAATGCAAAGAACTCCATGTAGGAAGCTACAGTAACTTTCACACATACAGAATGGGAATATATATGTGGGGAGGGATGGATAGCTCAGTGGTTTGAGCATTGGGCTGCTAAACCTAAGGTTGTGAGCTCAATCCTTGTAGAAGCCATTTGGGACAAAAATTCATCTGGGAGGTTACTTGGTCCTGCTGAGAAGGCAGGGGATGGGACTCAATGACCTTTCAAGGTCCCTTCCAGTTCTGGGGGATAGGCAATCTCTATTATTTACAAAATTCAGTAGATTGTAACTTTTCAAAAGATACTGTGCACAAATTATTTAGCACAAAGCATGTTCCAGTTACGCATATTCATTTTTGTAAGCATAGTTCCATAAAGAATATGGATAGTCCTGTGACACTCCCTTTTTCTGAAAAACTATTGTCCGACTGACCTACTGCCATCCCAGAAATAAAGTTGTCACATATATACAATGACGACATGTCCGTGTACAGTTTGGGATCAGTTTGTGAAGTGTTTAGAGAAGTGTTTGGGGTGTAAATTTCTATGAATGTAAGTTATTTGGAAATACAAGATTATAGTTCAGTGTAGATGGAGACTGTAATGATACTAGTGATTAGTCATCATTAACGCACTTTGATGTATGAGTTCATTCTTCAGCTTGTTTAACATTTTCTAA